AGAGAGAGACAGAAGGCAGGTGATGTGTGGTGTGGGAGCTACGTGAGAGGTGCACAGGGATGATTGCCACGGCACACGTAGAATACCAGACAAACAGATGTACGGAATTATGCAATCACACAGACACAGGTAGACAGACAAACAGACGGCAATATTCAATCGCACAGACACAGGCAGACAGACAGGCAGACAGGCAGACAGACATACCCCCCCCCCACCCCCACCCCCCCCCCCAACAAACACACAGCTCCCGTACCTGCTTTGAGAATCCCGGGTCGATGACATAGATGATACCGTCGATGGTGAGCGACGTCTCGGCAATGTTGGTGGCCAGCACGACCTTGCGTGCGCCCGGGGGCGTTGGCTCGAAGATCTTGGACTGCATGTCGGACGGCAGGTTGGCGTAGATGGGCAGCACCATCAGCTCGGCAATGCGCGACCCCAATCGCCGCACCTTCTCGTCAAGAATCTCCTGCGGGCGGCGTGAGTGAGTGAGTGAGTGAGTGAGTGAGTGAGTGAGTGAGTGAAAGTGAGTGAGCACATACGTATTTGTGTGTGTGTGTGTGTGTGAGTGAGTGAGTGTGTGTGTGTGTGTGTGTGCGTGTTGCTTTTACCTTTGCGCTCTCAATTTCCTCCTGTCCGGTGAAGAAGACGAGGATGTCTCCCAGCGGCTGCGTCTGGTGAGCGGAGCAATGCACAGGGAGCAGTCACGGTGGGTGGGGGGGGGGAAACGTGGTGAGTGGCGATGACGCACAATGACAGGTGATGATGCAGGCAAACACACACACATACAGACACAGACAGACACACACACACACACAGACACAGACAGACAGACAGACAGACAGACAGACAGACAGACAGACACACACACACACGACGACCACCATCAGAACAAGTGCGTGCGCGTGTGTGCTCGACCAGGTGGATCTGGAGAACGGTGACGACGGCTGCGTCAAGATAGTCCGCTTCCGGCGCCTTTGAGTAGTAAATCTCAACAGGAAACCGCCGCCCGGGCACGCGGAACACGGGCGCGTCGTCAAAGTAGGTGGAGAATTTCTCCGCATCCATCGTGGCGCTGGAGATGAGCAGCTTCAGGTCCGGCCGGAACCGCGCAATGTCCTTCACCAGGCCAAACAGGATGTCTGATGATGATGATGATGATGGGCCGGGGGAGGGATGTGATGAGACGGTCGAGTGAGGTGGTGTCAATGTGTGGGGAAAGTGAGCTGGGTGAACGAGACGGCCTGGGGCTTTGGCGTGACAGCAGTCAGCAGCAATAGTTCCAACACACACACAGAGAGAGACACACACAGACAGACAGACAGACAGACAGACAGACAGACAGACAGACAGACAGACACACAGTCACAGACACACACACACACACACCTGTGTGCAAGGTGCGCTCGTGTGCCTCGTCAATCATCATGGCGCAATAGGAGTCCAGGTCCGGTTCGCCGAGGAATTCGCGCAGCAGCATACCATCCGTCATGTACCTGACGCAAACGAGGAAGAAGCAGCACATTGAGCAACGCAGAGGATTAGGGATGGGCAATGCAGATAGGGAGGGCGGCATCCAAACGCGCGCACGATGTTGATGCATGCACATGGCCGTCGATTCACACACCTCTATCTCCCCGTCGTCTCCACACACACACACACACACACACACACACACACACACACACACACACACACACACACACATCTCTGTCCCTCCACATCGCCTTCCTCCACCCATCCCGGCATCCGTCCCCTCCTCTCCCTCTGGTGGTTGCCTGACTGACTTGAGGATGGTCCTCTCGGAGGTGCAGTCCTCAAAGCGGATGGAGTATCCGACATCCAGGCCAAGCTTCGTCCCCATCTCCTCGCTCACGCGCGCGGCGACAGACATGGCCGCAACGCGGCGCGGCTGCGTGCACCCAATCTTCTTTCCGCCTGAGGATGTGAAGGGGAGGTGAGGAGAGGCGAGAAAGGTAGGGGTGAGTGTGTATGTGTGCATGTGTGTGCGTATGTGCGCGCACAGATACATAGACACACCAAAAACATCACAAGTTGACGCGAACACACACACAGACACACACACACACACACACAGACACACACACACACACACAGACACACACACACACACACAGACACACACACACACGCGCGCGCGCGCAGCCCATCCCCCAGCCAGACCTTTGCAGTAGCCGGCCTCGACGAGGTATTGCGGCAGCTGCGTCGTCTTGCCAGAGCCCGTCTCGCCAACAATAATCAGGATTTGATGCTCCTTTACCGCTTCAAGGAACTGCATGCACAGACGCACGCACGCACGCACGCACGGTGAGCACGACATTGTGGTAGCATATGTGTGGTGTGGTGTGGAGACACGCTCATTGCGATGCAGTCAACTCGAACAAAGAGTAACACACACACCACCGCCACCGCCACGACCACGACCAGCCCCATCACCACCATCACCACCACCAGCGCACCTGTTCTCTGTATTTGAAGACGGGGAGCGACTTGCGGACCTCCTGAATGGACTTCATCTTCTTCTCCGCCTCCGTCTCCTTCGGTGCAGCCTGATGCAGTGGAGGTACGGACATGTGGATGAGTGGTTGAGCGGGACAACTGCAGCACGAAGAGAAGCATCACGCACACAACAGCAAACAACCAAATCAACAAACAAGCAGCCAAACAACCAAATCACCAACCAAGCAGCCAGCCAAGCAACCAACCAAGCAACCAGCCAACCAAATCACCAACCAAGCAGCCAGCCAAGCAAATCACCAACCAAGCAACCAACCAAGCAACCAGCCAAGCAACCAGCCAAATCAATAAACAACCAAACAAACAACCAAACAAACACAAACGCGAGCAAACGAACCAACGCCACCTCCACCTCACCCCTCCGCCTCCCATTTAAGGCTGACCTCCTCATCCTCGTCGCCCTGCTGCGCCTGGACAGCAGCGAGCACAAACGTGTCCTCAAGCTCCTCATCAAACACCAAGTCGTACTCCTTCTTCTCGTGGTACTTGGCCCGGTCCCGCGCCCCCGTGTGCATGTGCGCCATCTTGATCTGGTCCTCCTCCCACTGCATCTGCTCCCGGTTGCCATGCACGTGCTCATCAGGGTTCTCCTCGTACCTGATGATCACCATGGTGATGGTGGTCGTGGCGGTGATGTTGGGTGGTGGCGGTGATGTTGGGTGGTGCAGGGAGCAAAGTGAGTTCGTTCTCGAAGGCATGCAGCTATGAAGGCAGCGCAAAACAGCAAAAAGGCAGACAAACAAACCAGCACACACACAACACAACACAACACAACACAACACACACACACACACAACACAACACAACACACACACACACACAACACAACACACACACACACATGTGTGCGGACCTTCGCTTTAGGACCTCCTCCTGCTTCTTTCTGTCCCATTTCTCTTCGCGCTCGTTGACGTACTGCTCTGGCATCTCATAGTGCTCAACCTGCACATGTTGGTGATGGCGATGTGAGAAGGAGGTGGGCACATGGGTGATGTGAGAAGGAGGTGGGTGGGGGTGATGTGAGGAGGAGGTGGGCACAAGAGTGGTGCAACGTCAAGCGCACACAACACAACAAACACGACAAACACAACTCAACACATCAACACGCACACAACACAACTCAACACACAACACAACACCCACGTTGAGCTTCTTGTCGAGGTTTTGGTGTTCCTCTGCAAGTCTGAGTGATTCCTTGAGCGCGTTCAGGCGCTTCTGTTCCGCTGCCGTCAGCCGGTCTCCAAACAGGTACTCCTCGTCTCGAATCTTCTGCCGCAGCTCATCAATCTTGTCCTTCTCGCGCTTTTTCATGTATGTCATCCACGACTCGTCGCGCAGCTTGGGCATCACCTTCTCCCGGTCTTCCTTCTCCAGCGCCAGGCGCGACGTCGCCTCCTTCAGCGCCTTGCCCGAGCTCGCCATGGCAATTTTGCGTGTCTTTTCCTTGTCTTTTTGCCGCAGTCGCTCTGCCAGTGCATCCCTCTCCTCCTGATCCCGCAGCCGTTCCTCCTCTGTATCGTAAGTGTGTGCATACGTGTGTGTGTGTGTGTGTGTGTGTGTGTGTGTGTGTGTGTGTGTGTGTGTGTGTGAATGAACGAATGGCGTTAGTTGGCAGCGATGGCAGGAGGTACATGCAATGCTCATCAGGGGTGCAAAATCAGACAACAGACACACAGACACAGAAACACACACAGACACAGACACGCATGCACAGACACAGACACAGACACAGACACAGACACAGACACAGACACAGACACAGACACAGACACACACACCCATCCCCAATGTTACCGAGGCGCTTGAGCTCCTCCTCGGGATCCTCCTCTGCCCGCGCGTGCCTGGCCGACTTCTTTGCCAGCTGCACCTCCTCATCCTCCCCAAGGTCCTTTGTCCGCTTGCGAATGTGTCGCTCCTTCTTGTCCTGCAATGCGCAGTGATGTGCGTGTTTGTGTGTGTGTGCGCGCGTGAGTGGTTGAGAAGATACCGCAAGTGACAGCGCAGCAGGACCTTCAACTGGGCCCGCTGCGTGACGTGACAGGAGATGGTTGCACAAGGTCACACCGCATTATCACATCATGTCGTGTACACAATCAGGTTGCATGGGACGCACCTTCTTCTGTTGTGCTGGTCGCTGAGCAGGCTCAGTGTCGGCCTCGTCATCAACAAGGTCGTAGCTCTGCACATGGGTTCGAAGGGAAGCATAACAGCGAGTGAGCGGTTGGGGGGGGGAGCTACAGCCAGGAAGAGCGGAAGATGCGCAGACGCGAACAAGGATGCCAACTCGGATGCAAACAAGGAATCGGCACAGACACAAACACACAGACACACGGACAGACATAGACACAAACACACACACACACACACAGAGGTAGACAGACATAGACACACACACACACACACACACGGACAGACAGACATAGACACGAACACACACACACACATACACACACACATACACCCAAGCACACATACACCCAAGCACACGCCAACAAACACCAACACACAAACACACACCTTGTTGCGGCGTTGGAGTTCGAGGGCTGCGCGCTCCTGTGCGCGAGCGCGTGCTGACGACGCAGATGACGCCTTTGGCAATCGCGACCACAAGTCTTGAGCAAACGTGCGGGCAACCCTGCCGCACACCCAACACAACGTGCGAGATCCCCATTGGTCAATCAAAAAAGAAAAAAAAAAACACATTCAGCGCATTCAAATACACAACATCACACCCCCTGACACACTATCCTTCCCACAGCAGCCATCCACTCACCCCTCCGACACACACACGCCAACATCATGCATGCACACACACAACACGAGCACATTGTACGCACTGTTGGTTTGAAACAGCGCCAGAGGCTTCGAGGATATCCAGAATTGCCGCCGCAGACGACGCCTTGGATGCAGACGCCATGATGAACTCCGCTACCGTCGAGTCGGAGAAGCCAAGCACATTGTGCAGCTCGTCCGACACCCACTGCTTCAAACTCATCGTGGCTGTGTGTGGTGTGATGTGAAGCGTGCGAGCGTGTGATGTGAGTGTGCGAGTGGAACGTTCTCCGCTTCCGCTTCTCGTCTCTGTTGTGTGCTGGTGGTATCGATTCGACTGAATTCAGTCGATAGAGGTGGAGAGAAATGCGGTTTATGCTGTTGCAGACGGCGGTCACTTCCCAACGACGATCGACTGTTTCCACCGCTCCCAACAAAGATGGGGGACGAGTCCAAGAAGCACTCCAAGAAGAAGCAGGACAAGAAGAAGAAGAGTGCGTACATGTGTGTCGTGTGTGGTGTCTCACGTGTGTACATGTGTGTATGTGTGACATGTGTATGTGTGTGTTTGCAGGTGTTCGTTTGTATGCGAGTCTGCGCGGATAAGGTGTGATTGGAGTCATTTTTTTTTGAATTTGACATATGCACATCACATACACATCACATGCACATCAATGTGTAGAAGCGTCGAGTAGCAGTGCCGGTGGCGGCGGGGGCACGAGCCCAAAAGCAAAGAAGAAGAACAAGAAGAAGGCCCCAGCCAAGAACCCAATCACCATTGTACGATGTGCTTTTGCTTTTGCTTTTGTTTTCATCCGACACATCTTCTTTTTACCCAACAGCACACACACACACACGCACCCATACACGTATGCACACACATACGCGCACACACGTGCACACTCACTCGCATACGCACACGCACACTCACTTGCATACGCACACGCACAATCCTTCGTTCGTTCTCACTCTCCATCGCTGCCCTTTCCTTTGTGCAGGAGCTGGAGCGGATTCGAATGCTGGAGAAGAACCCAACGCTGCGGTGGGAACATGCCAAACAGGACCCGGCAAAGGAGGTGGAACGGCTGAAGAAGTACAAGGAAGAGCGCAGGCAGCGATATCGAGAGCACCGCAAAAAGGTGGTTGAAGCCGCAAAAGCACAGCGAGGACCAACCTTCTCGTTGCGGCCGCCAGCATGAGTGCAAATTGGGAGAGAAAGAGAGAGAGAGAGAGAGAGAGAGAGAGAGAGAGAGAGAGAGAGAGAGAGAGAGAGAGAGTGTGTGTGTGTGTGTGTGTGCATGTGCGTGTGATAGTGTGTGTGTGTGTGTGTGTGTGTGTGTTGTAGAAGCGTGTGTGTGTCTGTCAGTACGTACGTGACTGTCTTGAAAGGCACGCTCGGGTGTTATCCGCGTTCCAGTGCTCTTCCTTCTCGTGCGTAGCATCTGTTTCCTCTACGTTTTGAACTTCACATGCTTCCACTCCTGTGTGGCGGCCGTGCGCATGCTGAGCGTGCCATTGTCACCCTGTTGCCCACTTTCCCCTTCTGCATCGCCGCGCAATCGATAGCCGGTCTATCTTGTTGTTGCGATGGTCTATTGAAGCAAGTAAATGATACACTACTCGAAAGCAAATGGGGCCACATACGCAAGAGGAGACAAAGTGCACACTCAGGCACCCTTCGACATATGCACAATGTTGACGCACAACTGCACACAACTACAAACATAAAAGTAGGAGACACACGACACGACACACACACACACACAACTACAAACACGAAAGTAGAAGACAAACGACACTGCACTACACACACACACACACACACGCACACACACACACACACACACACACACGCACACACACACACACGCACACACACACACACACACACACACACACACACACACACACACACACACACACGCGTACGTGTCACATCTCGATGCTCACACAGGTGTTGCTGCATCAGAAGACAACGTGCTGGTCCAAGAGCGTATCGACGGTGCGTTGTGCAAGGCCCGTGTATGTGCATGGTGTGAGCTGCAGCAACGCAGCACGCTCATCATCAGGGATACCGTCGCACGCCGACGACGATACAAACGCGCGCATCGTATCCGCAGTCACGACTTTGCCCTGGACATGTGCGCAACACGTGACGTGTGTTGACATGTGTTGTTGAAGTGAGCGTGAGTTTAGCGTGAGTGGGTGCAAGGGGAAAAGGAAAAGGCAGATGAAGGACAAGGAATTGCACACACAGACACAGAGACAGACACACACAGCCACAGAGACAGACACACACATACACACACACAGCCACAGACACACAGAGACACAGAGACACAGACACACACACACACACACCTGCGTGTGTTCCTTGAGCTTCTCGTATGGCTTCTCCACGCCGTGCTTGCGCATGACGGTCTGTATCGGTTCAGCCAGCAGCTCCCAGTGTCTGTCCAGCTCCTGAGCCATCGCATCCGCGCACACGTCGACCTTCGCCAGTCCGCGCAGGGCGGAGGTATAAGCGATGGCGGCGTTGGCGAGGGCAGTACCCATGTTTCGCTGCACTGTCGAGTCTGTCAGGTCGCGTTGCAGCCTGGAGATGGGCAGTTTTCCCGCGAAGAACGCCAGCAGCGCATTTGCCACGCCGAGGTTCCCCTCGGAGTTCTCAAAGTCGATGGGGTTGACCTTGTGTGGCATGGTGGACGAGCCAACCTCCCCGGGCAGCTTGCGCTGCACCAGGTACCCCAGCGACACATATGTCCACATGTCGCGATCAAAGTCCATGAGCGCCGTGTTGAAGCGCTGGTATGCGTTGAAGAGTTCCGCGTTGTAGTCGTGCGGCTCAATCTGGGTGGTGAACGCGTTGGGGGTGAGCCCGAGCGAGGCCACAAAGTCCCGCCCGGCCGCCAGCCAGTCCACGTGTGGATATGCAACCGCGTGCGCGTTGTAGTTGCCGACCGCGCCGTTGAGCTTGCCCATGATGGCGGCTGCGGCAACCTGGTCGTACTGCCGCTTCAGCCGCACCGCAAAGTTGGCCAGCTCCTTGCCCATCGTCGTAGGGGTGGCGGGTTGCCCGTGGGTGCGGGCCATCATGGCGACGCCCTTGTGCTCGCGTGCCAACGCCGCGAGCTGCTCGACGATGCGGCGCATCAGCGGCAGCAGCACATCGTCGCGCGTGCTCTTCAGCGCCAGGGCCCACGAGAGGTTGTTGATGTCCTCGGAAGTGCAGGCAAAGTGCAGGAACTCCACCACGTTTTCCAGCTCGCTGACGCCTGCAAACTGCTCCTTAAGAAAGTACTCGACGGCCTTGACGTCGTGGCGCGTGGTGCGCTCAATCTCCTTGACGCGGCGCGCGTTGTCCAGCGTGAAGCTGTCGCCGATGGCGCTGAGCTTGTCGCGCGCCGCCCGTGAGAGCGTCACCTCTGGTATCTGCTCGTGCTTGGCCAGGAACAGCAGCCACGCCACCTCCACTCGCACGCGGTTGCGAATGAGCCCAAACTCGCTGAACGTTTGTCGCAGGGCGGCCGTCTTCTCCGCGTATCTGCCATCAATTGGCGATACTGCCGTCAGCTCCGACAGCGGCAGCGTGCCTTTGCTGTTCTTCTCCATTGCAACTCGCGTCCTTGGGTATGTGTGTGTGTGTGTGACTGCGTGTGTGTGACTGCGTGTGTGTGTGACTGTGTGTGTGTGTGACTGCGTGTGTGTGTGCGTGTGTGACTGCGTGAGCGTGGCTATGGCAGCTTGTGAAAGTGCATGTGGGCAGATCAAACACACCTAAGCAAGTGCGCAACACCCACCCAAACGCCGCACTGGCTGACCTTTTGCTCCCCTTGAGCTTCGTTGTAGAAGATCAACGAAAGATGCCCACCATTTCTCTTCAACCAAGGTGGCGGTGCGCCCGATTCTGCTCATCGCTCTTTGTGTTGTTGTTGTGCGTGTTGTTTTGGTTTGGATTCCTGGAATCGATTAGCCTCTCCTCACTTCGTCGCACGCTCCCACGCACTCGCTTCCCGCTCATACTCACTGACGTGCACACGATTGCACGCACTCACGATTGATTGCGCGCACTCACACTCCCCCCCCACTCAAAACGCAATTGCACGCACATTCACACAACAGGAGTGACCTACTCCTTCTCGCCAGATCATTGCAGTTTTCCTTCATTTCAGCACGACATTACTGGGCCTTGCTGTAAGCTGTAAGTCAAGCACAGCACCGTCGTGTCACGTCTTCCCGCTTTGTGGTGGCGTTGTCTGTCAAATGTCGTATCACACCCACGAGCTCGCTTTCCCACCACCGTTCTTGGAAAGCGCTTGCCTCACATTAATTGTCCTTGCTTGCATCGATTACCCTTGCATCACTTGCCCTTGCCTCTGTGGCGCTTGCCCTTCTCTGTCTCATTCACATCACAACCAACCACCCATCAAACCACCACCAACCATCAACCACTTGCCACATTCGTTGAACAGAGGCATTATTTTCCCCACCATCCATCACCACCACCTCTACCACCACCTCTACCACCACCACCACCACCACCACCTCTACCACCACCACCTCTACCACCACCACCCCAACCACCACTACCTCAAGCACAACCACTACTAGTATGACAGCGCCAGGGGGAAGCAAGTCGGTGGCCCAGGTCATGAGCCGCGTGGATGCGGCCACGTTCAACCGGCTCGACTTCCGACGCGTGAAGCCCGAGGCGTTGCCCGAGTACGGCCGCGGGCGGATCGTCAACCGCTACTTCGACATCCTCCCGGCACCAGAGAGCAGGGTGAAGCTCTCTGTCGTGAATGGCGATGAGGCAACGGAGTACATCAACGCCAACTACGTCAAGGGCGCCAACGGCAACGCCCGCCACTACATTGCGGCGCAGGGCCCGTTGCCGGCCACGAAGCACGCTTTCCTGCGCATGATCTTCGAGCACCGCAGCTCCGCAGTGGTGATGGTGACGAACCTTGTGGAGGCCGGGCGCACCAAGTGCGAGCAGTACTGGCCGCACAACGTGGGCGAAGAGGTGGAGCACGACGGCATCCACGTGAAGCTGCTTGCGCGGGAGCAGGACGCAGGGTTTGTGCGCAACGAGCTCCAGCTCACACACAACGGCGAGACGCACCGCACCATGCACTTTTGGTACAACACGTGGCCCGACCGCGGTGTGCCGACAAAGGACGGCAAGATGTTCACCGCCAACGTGCTCAAACTTGTTTTCGCCGTGCGCAAGCACCGCAGCAAGGCGGACCGCTTCCGCTCCCCGGCAGTCGTGCACTGCAGCGCTGGCGTGGGGCGAACGGGATGCTTCGTGTGCATTGATCAGGCGTTTGGCGCCATTGAGCGCGGGCAGAGCGTGGACCTGGTCAAGTTGATTGACGAGAACAGGCGGCAGCGCATGGCATTTGTGCAGACGGAAGTACAGTACCTGTTTGCACATCGCGCCATCTCGGAGTATGCGCGCTGGTACCTCGTCAAGGGCCACAAGCACGCGCAACAGCAACAGCAGCAGCAGCAGCAGGAGAAGCAGGAGAGGAAGCAGCGGCACGCGCAGGAGGCGGCGCCCAACAAGCGGGCAGCCCAATCCACAGCAGCAACAGCAACGACAGCAACAGCAACGACAGCAATGACATTCAAGGCCGTGACGGGGCTCGGCACCACCACCACCACCACCGCTGCAGTGCAGAAGGAGGTGGAGGAGGAGAACGATGAAGCAGGCGAGACACGTGCGACTGGTGCGAGTGCAGAAGACCAGCTGTT